TTTACTCAACATAGTTGTAGAGTAGATTAGCTTCCTCTGCACGTACTAGTGTACGTGAAGTTTCGCGCACCCCGAACGAAGGGTGCCCCGTTACACCTGGTAGCACTTCGTAGTCCGTCCAACGACTACTTAGTGTCCGTCCAACATGAACATGTTGGACGTAGAAGACGACAGCTTTCACTTCACACGTGAAGGCTACTCCCATCTGAGTGACTCAGAATGGGAGGTAGTCGGCCGTATGAGTTTGCTCATGGGCGAACCCGCCATCACTGGTATGTTGGAGTCTCTAAGCAGAGACCAGCAACATGCTGCTATCAACAAGTTCCTGAAAGGGGAACTTGCCTTCGAACGACAGAAGATAGCCTTGCTACAGCAGCAAGGCTCTCACCAGTCGATGGGCGGGCCGACGCACATGCGTCGACCCGAAACCTTGAAGATTAATATCTCAAGGTATTAGGGAACCGATGAAGATTTTCTTTGGAGATGGTTCGTCGAGTTAGACGACGCCATCAGAGCCCATCACATCGAGGGTGACGAGATGCAAGTCACCCTCACCCTGTCAAATTTGACGGGACGAGCAAAGACTTGGGCCTTAGGGCTTAAGCCTCACGACTTAAACGTGTTTGAGTCGTTGGAGATCTTATAGTCTCGGCTCAAAGAGACGTTTGAGCCACCGAGAGCCGAGTTCAGAGCACGCTCTGCACTCTTGAGGCTCAAGCAAGGTAAGCGTGACGTGCACGCTTATGCACAAAACCTACGCTACCTTGCGAGTCGCGTTACGGAGAACCCTGTTGATGAGCACACGCTCATCAACGTGTTCATTTACGGCCTTGTGGATGGGCCGGTGAAGACCTAAATGTTCCGAGAGGATTTCCATACGCTGGAAAGGGCGATAGCGTATGCGGAACAAGAAGACTTCAGTCTGAGACAGTCTCAGGCTCCCTCGCCCAACTATCGTCCGACGAGGCGACAGGAAACAGGAAGTCCCGAACCAATGGACCTCTGTTACATCGAGAGCGAGAACTCTCGCTCTTTGAGTCACAAGCGAACGGAAAGATGTCATCGCTGCCAGAAGATTGGACACTACGGTCATGAGTGTAGTGTCCCAAGCACCGCAACACGTCCAGAGACAGGACGTGATGACCACCGTTGGACAAGGAAAGGTCCACGGCGTGGGTCCGACCATGTCGCTAAGTCGCGACAGCAAGTCGGACCGTCAAAAACGGTCAGGGTCAGTAGGAACGGAGCACCCTGTTGATCCAGCAACGTCAAGATAATTTGCAGGACTATTGACGAAGATTGCTCCCAACACGCAGTCTCTATGTGTTACTGCCCCTAGTGATGAGGAGTCTCTCATCACTTTGAAGATCGAAGTGACAAGTGAAATGTCACTTAGCGACCTAGTTGACCATGAGGCGTCGAACAGTTTTATTTGACGCCGATCGCTAGGATAGTAGGCTGAACTATGTTGAGCGAAAGTTCCCTCCAACGAGGATGACGGTGTGCCTTGCTACAGGCGCATCCGTAACAGTGGGCAAACGTGTATTGGGAATCCACTACACGCTAGAAGGAAAGCAGTACGATGATGACTTCATCGTACTAGATTTGGATGACAAATTTGATGTCATCCTCGCTCTGACATGGCTTAGAAAGTACCAGCCATGGGTTAGCTGGCAGCATCGATTCGTGAAGATACCTGCTGTTTGTTTATCAGATGGCCATCTGATGAACGTCTTGGAGCGTCCACAAGCGTGTGGATGTACTACGAGTGAGTGCGATGGCCTCACTTGTGGTACGGTCGTTAGTGCGATTGCACAAGATCACAGTGTAGAAGGCCACTGCACTGTGGAACCAGCTTCCGGCACCTGTGTAGAGACACAGGCTGCGCCGAAGGTTCACCACTCGAAGAGATCGAGTGGACTGGAACACGGATGCACACTAAGAAGGGTGCATTCGAGAAGAGAGACTATTGTTGTTCAGGATGAACAACACGTTGAAGCAAGATCGACTGACAGAGAGTCGATCGTAGAGCGAGCCCGATCGACTGAAAGAGAGTCGATCGAAGTGGACGTGACCGTGGTAGTACACTCAAAGTCAGTACACATAATGGAAGAAAGTTCCGGCGTTCCTGAGAGCAAACACTCCCGAGAAAGTTATGTTGAGGGTATGGATCCCCAACTACCTGCGGACGTGCTTTCCCAGGAAATCACCGAGACAGTGAATGTCTTGGTGAATGACGGATCAAGTGTAGGCGCTTATACACTTGATCTGGTTGCACCCCCGAAGTCAGCTTCAAAGGTAGTCAAGTTGCCAACGCTAGAATCTAAAAGATTCGTGCGAGATCTGCGAAGTGACAAGATCAAGCAGATCTGCATTCTCGTCACAGAGGACGAGTTCGTCGCCGTTATTCGGTCGGCCCAAGTGTTTGCTGAGAACGAACGGGTTCTCAGTAGCTCATCGATGAGCGAGAGTGTCCTCGATGAGAAGACTCGAATTGAGCTATACACGTCTCAATCTTGGGAGTCTTTGAAGACAAATTCTTTGTACAAGGATTTGGATGAATTCAAGGATGTTTTCCCGGAATCCGTGCCATGCGAGCTGCCCAAGGACAAAGGCACTCGGCATGAGATCGAACTGAAACCTGGGTCAAAATACTGTGTCATGAAGCAGTGGCCACTGCCTCGTGAACAGGTCACATCGATCGACAAATTCTTTGCTGATCGCTTAGGCTGGTCATGTGAGGGAATCAGCATCCCCACACAGCTCTCCTACCTTCTGTGTGCAAAAGGCCACAGGAGGGTGGCGGATAGTGCACGCATTCATCAAACTGAATGCTACAACAGTACCAGCTTGGACGCCGATACAGAGAAAGGACGTCATCATTGACGGTATGGAAAAAAGTACCATCTTTTCGTTCATGGATCTGATGATGGATTCTATCAGATCCTCATGCGTGAACGGGATATCCCTTACACAGCAGTGAGCACCCCCAGTTGTATGCTGTGGGAGTGGCTAGTGATGCTACAGGGTCCAAGTAACGCCCCTGAAACGTTCAACGAATGTGTTACGAATCTGTTGCGATCGGTGCGCGACTTTGCACCGAGTCACTATGACGATGTATTCGTCCATAGCCGGGCGATGGATAGAAAGACGGACGTGGAGGTTCATAGAATCCAAGTCCGGAAGGTTCTTACGCTAATGCGAGAGCAAAAGTTTTTCGGGAACCTCAAGAAGTACATACTCGCAGCGGACGAAATACCACATCTTGGCTGCATCGTGGGCAAAAACGGCGTACTCCCTGATTTGGAAAAGATCAAGGTGATTAGCGACTGGCCTGTGCCAGTCGACGTCAAGGGACTTCGAAAATTCCTTGGCTTGGAGGCGTACTTGCACAAGTACTCGCGCAACTACGCCAAGGATGACCGTACATCTCTCTCGTTTGTTAAAGAAAGACGAGAGGTGGTCGTGGAGCGCTGAGTGTCAGCACTCCTTTGAAGGTAAAAAAACTTGATACAATCGCCTGTGTTGGCGATTGTAGATCAGGGTAGGCCACTTCATGTGGTCTGTGACACCAGCGATTTTGCAATCGGCTGGCGTTCATGCAGTACGACTCAGACGGCGTTGAGCGCGTCGTCTGTTATCAATCGCGTCATCTGCAAGCAGCTGAGCGTAATGACCCGGTTCATGACAAGGAACTCCTTGCCATGAACTATGCACTGATTAAGTTTCGGTTACATCTCTTAGGAGATAGGCCCTTCATCGTTTATACCGACCATGCGTCGTTACGCACGGCCGTAAACAGTCCACACCTCTTGCAACGAATGGCGAGGTGGCTGTCTTTCTTCGCGGAGTACAATTTCTCCGTCGAGTATAAACCAGGACGACTTAATGTCGTCGCTGATGCTCTTTCGCGTTGGCCCGATTTCGAGCCGACTGCTCGACCCAACAGTAGGGGTGATCCCGCTGTCGCAACACTATCAGTGAGTGTTCCATCTTCGAATCTGCTCGACGACGTGCGGAAAGCATACACAGAAGATGAGTATCTTCTGCGATTGATGGATTAAGTATCTAATTTATGCAGTCAAGCTTATAAAATCTTGACGTCTTAATACAGCTCTTCAACCGAACGGTCTTCTGTTCGTGATAGACTGCTGTATATACAGCAGCCAACGGCGACACACCTCGTGTTGTCGTTCCCGCTCATGATGATTTGCGATTGCGCATCATGTATGAGTGTCACGATGCCCCAACAAGTTGGCATCGCGGTAGAGAAAAGACTTAACTCGCGGCAAGTCGTGACTTCTACTGGCCCCGCCAATATGAGTTTGTGCGGAAGTACATTCGCGCTTGCAAAGTTTGTCAACGGGTGAAGCCTAGTCCTTCATACCGCGCACCCTTACAGCCTCTTCCGATTCCGGCAGAGTATTGGCAGTCCGTATCGATAGACTTCGTCTTCGATTTTCCCAAAGACGTTCATAAGAATACGGGTATTCTTGTGTTGATCGGTTCAGCAAGATGGTACATCTTGTTGCTGTACCGGAGTCAATTACAGCCCAGGGCTGTGCGCGTGTCTTCATCTATACTATCTTCCTACTTCATGGGTTACCCCGTGAACTCGTGTCTGATCGAGACCCCCGCTTCACAGCGGAGTTCTGGCAATCCGTGTTCCGTTCACTTGTAACACGTTTGACGATGTAAACTTCTGACCATCCCTAAACAGATGATCAGACGGAACGCGTCAACCGCGTCCTCGAAGAGATACTTCGAGGGTATGTCCACTCGTTTCAGAGCTGGAGTGAGTTCTTGCCGATGGCGGAATTCGCCATCAACAACTCGGTGCACGCGTCGACAACGCATGCACCGTTCTTCGTGAATGGCCTACGCCATCCACGTTTACCCGCCTTGTTATATTGTGACTCTAGTTTAAGGGGGGGTGGACTCGCTCGAACAAAAACCGATCTGGTTCTTGCTCATCACCCGTCGACAATGGTGTCGACGCGATGGATGCCGAGGTCGATGCGATCGATGTCGATGATGACGATGACGACGATGCTGGCATATTCAGCATCGCCAATGACCGCCAAAGTGAGGACGATGATACCCTCACTGGTGAAGACAAAGTTCTTTCAGCAGTGCACACGAAGCGCACTGCTGTTGACAAGGATGAATAAGCAGAGGCATTTCTGCTGACTCGCGAAGCGGTTGTACGCTTCGTTTAAGACTCGATTGCAGATGCGTTAGACAGACAGAAGCGAAACGCAGACAAACAAGGAAGAGAAAATGTTCTTTCATTTGATGCAAGAGACCTAGTTTTACTGTCTACAGTAAACCTACCAAAACACGCAGTGACGAACGTGGGCAGCAGTAAATTACTGCCCAAGTACATCGGTCCATTTCGTGTGTTGCGCCGAATGGGCAACGCATACACGATTGAACTGTCCCGTAAGATACGTACGCATCCTACGTTTTACGTCGGTCGTCTCCGCCCGTACTATCAGTACGAGCCCGTTTCGAGATGCGAAGAACACCTCCACGGTCGAGAGCCGAGACGACCCTCGAGTGGTCATGTTTCAACGAGCCAGTCTGGTCGACTAGCGAAGCGACCTGTTCACGCAGCTCAGCGATGTCTCGACGAGCAGCAGCCAGCTCATCACGAAGAGAACGAGTCGAACTTTCTTTCTCAAGTTGCGCGAACGCAAAAGCGGCACGATCTTCCGAACGATCGTGCGTTAGGGAATTGAAATTATCCCTCACAAGATCATGTAGCCCATAACGCCAAGATCGTTCATGAGCCAGGTCATCTTGCAACTATTCCGTTACACGGTTCAGCTTTTGAACGTCAAGCTGATCCAACCCTCGAGCCGGATCAGGTTTTCCCGCCGCCACCACATCCTTTGGTGGACTCAGTCGGTGGTCAACGCTTCCTGGTAAAGCTTATTTTGAGCCATTGCGATGTGAATGGCGTCCGGACGAGTTACCTCGTCCACTGGCGTGGCTATCCACCGGCGTGGGACAGCTGGAAGCCTCGTTTCCAGATGATTGTTGATGTCCTTGGTCTCGTCGAGCAGTATGACGAGACCCACCCGCTGCGTTCGAAAAAGGGCCGTCGGAAAATGACCTCCCCGAACGCGAGTACAGGGATTGCAAAGTGTCAATCCCTTCGGCCATCTCAGAAGAGATGCGCGCCCTCCAGTAGGGATCATTAGGGAGGAAGGCCTCTCCAGGAGCACGGTTCGAGTTGTCCAGGCAACCTGGACACGAATCACCCCACGAGAGACAGGGTAATCCTGCCTCTCTTGGAAGCCGGTGCAACTTGTACCGTACACCGACTGGGTAGCGTATCTCAAACGTGATGCGAGATGCATCAAGTTTGGCTAGGGCCAGGCCTCACGGCCAATGCACTCGATGTTATGGATGAGGGCATTCCATCCTTGCACCAAGGCTTTACCGTCTCGAACATGGCTGTAATTGTACCACCGATAATTAAAAAATGCATCGGTGAAGAATTCTTCCTCAGCACGGGTAGTTTCCGTGCTGGAGATAGGCAGGCAGATCTTCCTACAGCCGAACAACGGGATTTGATCCCGTTCGGTAGTCGTGCCGGTCAACCGTTCCAACTCTCTGGATGACGACATCCAAGGAAACTCCACTTGAGGAGCGTGGCGCAGGACATTAAGGTCCCTGGCCTCTTGATTGGAGCCAGCGTGAGCGCTGACACCAGTGATACCCCGATCCCTTGAGTTACTTCGCTCGTGGTGATGTATAGGTGCATCACGACCGTCTCCACGCGTCCTATCGTTGGATGGACTTGCGTGAGACAGAGATTCGTCGGAGTAGTCACTCGGTCATGATGCTGCCGCGCTGACCAGAGCCAGTCAGCCTGGCTTTTGCAGCGCCCGCCCCGGGTGATCCCGAGGCGTGTGGAGTCGCCTTCGAGCCGGATGCATCATCCGACTCGTCAGAATAGATGAGCTCTATTTCAGACTCGTCTGGATTACGATTCGAGGTACCCGCTGCAGACGCAACGGATGTACCTGTCGCACGTGGTGACTCACCACGTGGACAATTCACAACAACAGGCGACGAATCACCTGCTGCTGAGGCGTGAGAGGCACTTTCCGCGGCTGAACGCATGCGTACATCCGCCCGTCTTGCTGCTGCAGTAGCAACTCGCTTGGTTTTTTGAAACCATGCGTTGGATTGGCAAGTGAATGGAATTTGACCAACAAGTGCTCCCTTTCCCAGAGTGATCCAACCGTGGTCACCCTGTCCCAATCGATTCTAATTCAATCAACGGGTGATTGATGGTTAAGGGGGTGATGTAACGGGGTATCCCATTACATGATATTGATACCAAACGGTGTCAATTGGAAAATTGTCTAGCATGACGATGTCCTACCAGTATTATCCGGTTATGGGTAATACTGAAGGAATATTACCCCCTTTTAGAATAAGATTCATGCGCTGCTCCAAGATTGGTTGATATAAGACATATCAGCCATAGATTACCACCAATCGCTGCTAGACACACGCAATGAGTGGTGAGCAGGTTGTCGTCATACGACGACGTAGTTTAATATTGTTAGATAAAGATTAAAGTTATATTGGTAGCTTAACTTTATCAAATACAGTTCTCTTTTACCTTACTTAATCGAGTCGTTCAAGTAGCTTAGCTTCCTCTGCACGTACTAGTGTACGTGAAGTTTCGCGGCACCCCGAACAAAGGGCGCCCCATTACATTAACTATATTTATCACACTTCTCTTTTCCCCTTTACTTAAGCTAGTGATTTGAGTAGAATACATCCCTCTGCATGCACGAGCATACGTGAAGTTTCGTGGCATTCAAGCAAATGATGCCCCGTTACAACTGGCCAGACTTGGGTTGACTGAACACGAGGCTGCGTGCTCCCGACGTCACGTACACGTGGCGTGAGGAAGCACAGCGAAGTAGACAGAACTAAGAGTTCTGTTTAGGTAGTTAGTAGAACTATACGTAACATAGTTAAGCTTCTTTGTAATAGGGAGTTAGTAGAGCTGTATTTAACATAGTTTAGCTTCTTTGTAAATCATATTTGTCTTGATCTGACTATATTAAATTACAATCTCTCATGTGCATTGCTTGCACACCACCTATTGCGCTCGTCCGGCAGCGATTGGTGGCTAGTTTGGTTGATGCCGTGTCTACATCTAACAAAAAGTAGAGCATCCCGGAATTCTTACTCTTGGGGGTAATATTCCGCCAACATCACCTCTTCGTAAGTGATGTCCATTAGATGTTATCTAATTGGGTATTATTCAAAAATTGATCCATTCGTCTTAATTTTATGTAATGGGCCTACCCCGTTACATCACCCCCTAAACTATTAGTCATTACGAAGAAGTGATTTGATTGATTGGTGACATGTTGACCATTGTTTTGTCGCTCTGGGGAAAGTTAGAACTTGTTGGTCTTTTTCTTCTCATTCCAACTCAATGGCGCATATCAAGCTCGCCAATGCGCTGCGCGAGCAAGGCTGCATCTAACACGAATACACGGATGCGTGCATCAGGCAAACAAGCTACCCAAGACTCGGCAGCAAGCGTTTCATCGCCTAAAGCTCCTAATAAGCATACAGTAACACCAATTGTTGCAGGTGCATGTGGTCATCCACGTGCACATTTTTCACCTACAGCCTCGGCTGCGGGTGGTAGTCGTATGGACATCGACCCAAATTCGAGATTCGTTATTCGGGCGAGACGGACCCCCCCCGTCCGACTTGAGGTCGTCGACAAAGCCCGGCCGTAGGGTCGTAAATGCGGAAATGACGACCGATGTACCTCGTGGCAGTCTCGATATGCGCCGTGAAATGTTCGGCTCATCCGACGAGTCTGAGCACTCGTCGCGGAAATTGAACCGATTATGCTTGCATTACTATGATGCGAGTGCAAACTTGAGGACGCTATTCATTATAGTGATGCCGATGACTCTTCGCGGAGTCATCTCAGCCGTGGCGAAACCAGTTATTGCGGAGATGGTTGTACCAGGACTCATGTCGGTACTACGCAAGAGAATCAGGATTGTAACGCGCTAAGATCTGCTCGTTTAAAAAAACCACAAGTGCCTTCATTGCTCAATCTGAGATAGTGGTATGGTATATCACTGAAATTTTTTAGATACCGCTCTTTGATTCGTCAAAACTCTGCGGTCTTAATGTCAGTGCGAAAGACTATTGCATTAGTATTACATCGATGTCTTTTTCATACATCTATGGCACCACGGCAACCGCAACCGAGACGAGGTTGCGTTAGTGCAGGCCTGGAACTCTTTTATCGTCAACATCGAAAATGTTGGTCGTGAGGTTTGACTGGACAAGCTTATTGCAGCTCGCAATATGGATGATCAGAAGATGCCAACTGGTGCTCGGTTTGAGTTGCACTGTTTGTCCCGGGAGACAGGTTTACCTTGCCTCTCATGGAAAGAGAACTGTCAGAGTTGCGTTGACAGCTTTGTTCGCGCCCCTAGGAGGGCTTTCCTCTTCGTAGGTCCGACTAGAGGGTGCGCATCTCGCCCAAGATGCACCAAGGTGTCTAGTCCTTTGATATCTAAACGAAAGTGCCGGGTATTTGTTCGACGATAGAAGGGCGTGTCTCGTCATACTTCTTGACGAGACCGGACACACCCATCATCAGCTGGGAGACCCACTCCAAGCGTCTCGATAAGGGTGGATACCCCCGTCACTGGATGAGGTTTCTCGTCCTTGATCCTGAATCTTTATGTCGTTTTAACGAACGCTCCACGAAGAGGCGTCAACCACCGTGTGAGTCCAATAAAGGGAGTGGAGAAGGCGTAAAAACTCCTCCAAGTCGTTCGAATCCCTATCTCGACCTTCACGAGATGATTCGCGCAATCGTTGAATTGCGTGAGAATTCAATGCACGACAGGAACAGACGCTACGCTCTTATCGACTCTTTGCGGAAGCAACGCAAGGATCATGAGGCTGATAATGCGAAGGATCGTGCTAATTACGCCTTTGCACAACTTCAGGTCGAGGGTGATGTCCGTACCCTCGTTGACGACAAAAACAACAGCTCGCAAAGAGATATTTCAGTTAAATGAAGCGGTCTCTTCACTATGTGACCAGATTGATTACCTAGAGCGTGAGCGCAAGAATCCGATAGAGATTTATGAAT